TCGCTCTGACACATCTGCTCTGTGAGATTCCTACCTGAGTCCTGTTCAGCTGGCACTTTGTGCGGACAACAAAAATCAAGATGATGACGACCACAGTGCTGACCACCGTGAGAAGAATCCACACATCGTAGTCTGGCTGTGGGTACAACAGGAAAGAAATCACCCTTGGGTGGCAGGGGTGGGAGTTAGAGGCTAGGCAGGGGAATCCCCAGCTCCTCCTGACCATCAGCCTTTGAATACGTGATCCTTGGCCAAGCTCTACCTCCTTGCTCTTTACAGGTAGAAGAAAAAGGGTTCAGACTTTTTTGTACATCCTAGCAGGAGTGGAATTTCTCTCTCTTGAAGCATATCTAGAGGCCACAGTCTAAGACAGCACAAGATGAGAAAGTCCAGGCTTGGTCTCACCTGAAGAGACAGGGAATCACCTCGCCCCACTCGTGATATTTAAGCAAAAGAAACTAAATAAGCTACATAAAAGGCATCTGAGCCTTTATCTGCAGCACATCAAAGGGCTGCGATCTCCATCCCTGGGGAGGAAAGCTCGGCATCTTCGGGGAAGTCCCATGCCATGGCCGAGCAGCGTGGCAGGGAGGGTACGGCAGGCAGTGGGAACGGTGTGTCTCTCACCCAAGCTGGCGGCTCCTTGACCTCGATCTTCACGTGGGCCTCTCTGTTCTTGTTCACGACGCCCATGAGAAGCTCAGCATCGTGGCCCCTGATGAGAACCACAGGCTGGCTCAGACCTCTGGGCTTCCTCAGCTGTAAAGAAACGAACACAGTGAGAGAAGGCCCAGAACAGCCTGAAACAAGGACTGCCCCTGCTCCCCCGGCATGTCGGGCTCCTCCCGATGCTTCCTGCACGCTCCTCGGAGACTGACTAATATCCCAGACTTGCACTATCCCTCCGTGATGAAACTGGATGGAAGCTCCTCATCTTTCACCAGCTCTTCAGCATGGCTTTCTTCATTTCCTCCAGTCGTGCCTCCTCATGCACAGCTGGACACTGCTCGGTGTCTCTCGTGCTCCTCTTTCAAGCCCCTGTGCAGAAGTCCTTGGTCTCTCCTCTCCCACGGGGTAACTGCTAACGACGCTGCCGAGCGCTGCCTTCGCTACAGAAGTGCTTCCCCTTCTTCTCCCGTGAGACCCATCGGTGGTCCCTCTCCTCCCTCTGTGATCTGCAGGACGTTCCGCTCGTTTCTGATCATACCTGCAGCCTTCCACCACGGACACGTAGTCCCGGCAGCTGGCTCGGCAAGTGCCCGGGTCTGCTCTCTCCTCCAGTCTGCCCGGAACCAGGGTGGCCATCGGACCCACCCGCCACCACCCACACCCCAGCGAGCAACCTCGGCATCGCCTCACGGGCCTGCACTCGCTGCTGCACTTCTCTGGCATCAGAAATTCAGTTGTACGTGCGTGAAAGAGCCACGAGGGACGGATCCAGCGAGCAGGGGTCAGCCCAGAGTTTTGACAAGCTCAGGCACCAGCTCCCCTATCTCTCCTCTTATCCAATGCTGGATGCTTTTCATTATCGCTTGATTATTTCTCTGGGGAACCTATTCCTTCCCAGAGATGACAGCAGTGTTGGTGGAAGGAACCTCTGGAGGCCTCTAAACCAATGTTCAGCTTGCAGCAGGAGTATCACCAACAGCATAGCAGGGTGACCGTGACTTTGCCTTGAAAACTCACAAAATCATCTGTCCCCTAAGGTACAGCAGGGCTGTCTGTACCAGATGGGATCAGGTAATCTGTGACCTCCCACAAGGGAGCATCCAGCTCCTGGCAGAAAAGCTCAATCGACCAGACACTGCCATAGAATCACAGAATAACAGAATCACAGAATCATAGAATGGTTTGGGTTGGAAGGGACCTTAAAGCTCATCTGGTTCCAACCCCCCTGCCATCAGCAGAGGCATCTTCCACCAGCCCAGGGTGCTCAGAGCTCCATCCAACCTGGCCTTGAACCCTGCCAGGGAGGGGACAGCCACAGCTTCTCTGGGCAGCCTGGGCCAGGGTTCCACCACCCTCATGGAGAAGAATTTCTTCCTAACATCTAATCTAAATCTGCCGTCTCCTGGTTTAGAGCCGTTCCCCCTTGTCCCATCACTGTCCTTTCAGAGCAGCAAGGTGCTGTTCACAAGGTGCTGGCCTGCTTGTGCCGCGTGGAGATCTGGGTGTGCCACGGAGAGAGCGAAAGGGAACAGCTCTGTCTGCGTACACAGACGAGCTGGGCGAGAGCTGACGGTCAGAGCCGGCCCGCAGGACCCTCCCGGGACCTCCCGCTGCGTGGCGGTGGCTGCTGGGTCCTGACCTGGGCGCACCTGGGGATGGGACAGGGCCGCTGTGGTTTAGCTGGTAACATCAATGGGGTCTGTACCTGATCTGCAGCGCTTTCGTCGTCGGTAATGTCAAAAAGGATCGCACGGGCTCCACGCTCCCCCGCCAGCTTTGCCTGTCCAAAAGAACAGAAGCTTCAGTGGACATTTTGGATTGTAGCTCTGCATTAACATCTACCACTCGGATGTGTGTTTGCCTCCCTGGCTCTTCACGGGACAAAGAAGCACCTGCTGCTTCAAGCGAGAAAATAGTTTGCATCTTGGTTTCTGTACCTGTGCTGAGCTGCAGTGCCTGCTCAGCTAGAGCTCCGCGGTTCATGGATGGTTTCTCCCTATAGTTGTGGAGGAAAATTAGTTGGTGGGCTGCTGGCACAGCAACCCACAAACCAAAACACCCCCCCCCCCCACCTCTCTGTCACACTCCACCCCGGCTGCACCAGCTGTGGGCTGACCGGGGACCTGACTCCCATCCACATTGATGTCCCCACTCCCTGTCCCCCACGTTCGTCACGGAGGGGCTCAGGCGATGCCCGGGCTGCAGGTCTGCTCTGGGATGGCTTTTCACAGCCCACCGGCGAGGAGTTCAGCTCTGAGACCCACCCAAACCAGCACACACGCCACCCCGCTGAGGTCAAAGCACCCTGCCTGGAGGACTTTGCGGGGTCCCCCGCGTCCTCCCACCGAGCCCTTCGAGCCCTCCAGGCAGGCATGGCAGCCTCTTGTGAAAGGCAGACGGGGAACGTGAACAAAGTGCAGGGCTGGGCCGCTGTTACTCACGCGGAGCCCTTTGATGTGCGCGTCCCGAGCGCCTGTGCAAACAGGGAGCTGCCGAGCCGCCATGGCAGCTCACCCACTGCGTGGCCAAACCCCGGCGCAGGGGCCCGAGGGCGGCGCCCACGCGTCCCCGCATCAAAGGCCGGGCGCCGGCGGGGCCAAGGCGAGGGGCATTCCCGGCGGAGCGGGTTCAGCTCCAGCCCTCGCTCGTGGGTGCTGGTTGCTTCCACGCATCTCATCGGGGAGGAGCTGGGCACCGGGGTCTGGGGACAGGGGTGAGGATGTGAACGGAGGTGCAGATGGTCAGGAGGACCATGGAGATCAAGGGCTGAAGGCTCCGAGTCGCTGACTTTGACTCTCTTGGGTTTGGTAGTCCAGATGAGGAAGCGGGAAAAGTGGGATCAGAGGCTCGGGGCAGGGATCAGAGACTGGGGTCCTGCCTGGCATCAAAGGGGCCTCAGCGTTTGCCAGCACCAAAGAAGAAACAGGACTTTCAGATAGTGACGTCCGCCTGTTGGAGCCAGGCACGCTTTGATGAACCATGAACAGCCCTGCAAAGATTTTATGCTGCTAAAGACACCGACGACGGGGAAGCGAACAGCTGAGACGGGACAAGTGGCTCTTCCCAACATCCTTCTGGCTCCTGTTGCAAAGCACACGGCTTTTGTTCAAGCTATTCACAACCTGCCTGCTGCAACCATCTTCTGAGTGCTTGCTGTCCCTGCGCCGGATCTCGTCAGCCACACGGCACGGCTGACCTCCCTCTTTGAGGACTGAAACACTTTTGGTGCAAATATATATTTGCAGGATGATTTAGGAGGTTTCGGCAGCCTGTCAACCAGCCTTGCAATCAATGGTTCACTCAGAAAAAAAAAAGACACCACAAACATTGCAAATGATGCATCAGAAAGAAGAATAAATAACTCTGAATTGATTCCAGAGGAATTTTCCACGCCTCCCTCTCCCCTGGCAGATCAAACACCTTCCCGGGTGGCTTTAGCTGGGGATGCTGAAGCGGTGCGAGAACCGAAGAGCGGAGAAGCAGAAAAGCGGATCAGGTGGCTGGTGGAGTCATCCTCACGCGGGGCTGGACGGGGCTGCCGGCGTGCACCGCCTGGCTGGCTGGCAGCGAGCGCAGAGGGGCTTGGCAGAAGCTTCAGGAGGATGGAGAAGCAGCCAGACAGCAACCGCAGGGGGATGGGGGAACCGAGGTACAAGGCAGGGGCTGGGGACACGGCCAGTGTCAGAAGCATCTGCCTGCATTTCATGGTCAAACGAGTCCTGTCTGGGGGGAGGAGAGCTGTGAGCCTCGCTGGCTGAGATCTTGGAGCAGGACTACCCGCAGGCAGGATGGCAGCCGATGTCGCGTTCGGCTGGATCTCAAAACCCAGCGCGGGATGCGGCTCTGGTGACACAGCAGTGATGGCTAAAGGGCAGTGAACCGTCACTCTACCAAGTCGTGAGCACGGCACTGAACGGGGGGGTTCATTTGCTTTGGGGGGGGTTAGTGGTCCTGGAGAAGGGGTCCAGGCTAGTGAGGATGGCCCCAGTGCAGCAATGCCCCATGTCTTGTCCTCCCTGTGCAGACCTTGGGACCTAATAAATGCTTATAAATATCTGCAGGGTGGGTGTCAGGAGGATGGGGCCAGACTCTTTCCAGTGGTGCCCAGCGACAGGACAAGGGGCAACGGGCACAAACTGAAGCACAGGAAGCTCCAGCTGAACCCGAGGAAGAACTTCTTCCCTCTGAGGGTGACGGAGCCCTGGCCCAGGCTGCCCAGGGAGGCTGTGGAGTCTCCTTCTCTGGAGATTTGCAAGCCCCGCCTGGACGCGGTGCTGTGCAGCCTGCTCTGGGTGACCCTGCTTGGGCAGGGGGTTGGGCTGGGTGACCCACAGAGGGCCCTGCCAACCCCGACCATTCTGTGACCTTCCTCAGCCAAACCCTGGGATCAGTAACACGCTGGTACTTCCAGTGCTGTGATCAGAGCCTCCAAGATTAAGGGCAAAACCAGAAAAACAGCTTTGAAACCTTTTAGGTTCTTAAGTGGAAGATGAGTCTTTGAAGCTGCTCCTTCCTCCTGTGCAAGACCCTCCATGGTAGCTGCACTGACCAAACCAGCCACAGCTGCCCCTACCCTCAGCATCCTCCCCTGTGAGACGCGGCAGCCTGGGACCACGGCAGCGCGATGGTCACGTCTGGATGGACACGGGAGAGCTGGAGGACCCAGCTGCTCTCCCTGCGGCGCCTGCAGAGCCCTGGCTCTCATGTCTGTCACAGGCTGTGCTGGAAGCCCTCGGGTTCGGTCTTCATCCCACCATCCTCGTGCATCACTACCAGCCACCGGTGGGACCAGGCCATTTTCCAGATGTGGGGTGACTGATTCCAGCACGATGGCTTGTGCCAACAGCTGGCATCAGCTCCAGAGCAGCAGCAAACCCAGCTCAGGCTTTCACCCGGGTCCGGAAAGGGACAGGCACTGCCGCCCGGCTGCCCACGCAGCTGGGGGGAAGCAGCCCCGAGGCGGCACATCCACCCCAGCAGCACAGCCCTATCCCTGCTCTTCACAGAATCACAGAATCACAGAATCACAGAATAGTAGGGGTTGGAAGGGACCTCTGTGGGTCATCCAGTCCAACCC